TTCTTTCGGCCATGTTTCTGTTATGGCTATAATATCCCAGTCCCCAGACTGATCTATGCTCTCAGCTCATCTGCCTTATCAATCAGGCCTCGTGCCTTGAAATAAATGCACTTTAAACCAGAAGCCTTTTCCCTCTCTTTACTGTGCCTCTGGCTATCCTTGAATAGTAAACTTGGTCTCGATGGCTAATGTATTGTCCCCTGACCTCTCAATAGCCTCTTTCTTATTCAGACTCCCACCTCCCTGCCAAACTAGTTTAAACCCTCCAGGGTAACACAAACAAATCTCCCCGTGAGCATATTGGACTCCCTCTGATTCAGGTGCAACCCCTTCCTCTTGTACAGGTAGTGTGTAATGGCAGACTATGATAACAAGGCCTGGTGTATGGGGTAGGGGGCTAGGACATGGGAGAGTTCAGGCCCTAAAATAATTGAACTCGATATTGAGTCCAGAGGGCTGCAGGTCCCTAGGTGGAAAATGAGGTGTTGTTCTTCCAGCTTGCACTGAGCTTCACTGGAAAACTGCAGCAAGCCAAAGGCAAAGATGTTAGCCAGGGAACAGAGTGGTGTGTTAAAGTAGCAGGCAAGTGGAAGCTCAGGGTCTTTTTTCCGAGTGGAACGTAGATGTTCTGCAAAGCGGTCACCCAGTCTATGCTTCGTTTCCCCAATGTGCAGGAGACCACATTGAGCAGCGAATGCAATAGACTAGATTCTGGGAAGTGCAGGTGAAGTGTTGCTTCACCTGGAAGGTATGTTTGGGCCCTTGGTTACTGGGGAGGGAGGAGGTAAATAGGCAAGTGTTACACCTTTTGGCAGTTGCAGGGGAAGGTGCTGAGGGGTTGTGGGTGTTGTTGGGAGTGAAAGAAAATTGGACCAGGGTATCCTGGAGGGACTGTTCCCTGTGGAAGGCAGACAAGGGCATCTTGCTGGAGGTGGCGGAAATAGCATCTGATGATCTTCTGGATGTGGTTGCTGATGGAATGGTAGGTAAGGACAAGGGGAATCCTATTGCTGTTGCAGGAGGGAAGGGAGGTGGGTGAGGGCGGAAGTGCGGGAGATAGGTTGGACCAGGTTGAGGGCCCTGTCGACAACGGTGCTGGGGAATCCTTGGTTATGGAAGAAGGTGGAAATTTCAGAGGCTCCCGTGTCGAAGTTGTCCTCATCTGGACATAGGCATCAGAGATGGAGGAACTGAGAGAATGGGATGGAGTCTTTATGGGAAGTGGGGTGTGAGGATATATAGTCCAGGTAGCTGTGGGAGTCAGTGGGTTTGTAATGGATACTAGTGGCCAGTCTATCCCCAGAAATGGAAACACATGTCGAGGAACGGAAGGGAGGAGTCAGAGATAGACCAGGTGAAAGTGAGGGCAGGGTGGAAATTGGAAGTGAAATTGATGAACTTTTCCGATCCCAGATGAGAGAGGGAAGCAGCACTGCTGATATCATTGATATATCAGAGAAAGAGTTGTGGGTGTGGACTGGAATAGGACTAGAACAAAGAATGTTCCACATACCCCGCAAAGAGACAGGTATAACTGGGGTCTATGCAGGTAGTCATGGCCCCCCTCTGACCTGAAGAAAATGAGAGGAGTTAAAAGAGAAGTTGTTGAGGGTGAGGACAAGCTCGGCCAAGCGGAGGAGGGTGGTGGTGGGTGGGGATGGTTCAGGCCTTTGCTTTAGGAAGAAGCGGAGAGCCCTGGGACCATCCTGATCGGGGATGGACATGTAAAGGGTTTGCACGTCCATGGTAAAGAGGAGGCGGCTGGAGCCTACAAACTGGAAGTTTTGAAACAGGCATAAAGTGTAAGAGGAATCACGGATGTACGTGGGCAGGGACTTGACTGGGGAGAGAAGCCTGAGTCAAGGTAGGAAGGGGTGAGTTCTGTAGGGCAGGAGCAGGCTGAAACAATGGGTCGACCCAGGCACTCCTGTTTGGATTTTTGGAAGGAGGTACAAGTGAGCTGTGCGGGGCTGGGGGACTATCAACTTGGAGGCAGTGGGGGGTGGAGAGGCTTCACCAGATGAAACGAGGTCAGTTATTGTAGTTGATACAATGATGTGCCATGGCGGGGTCATGGTCCAGGGGAAGATAGATTTAGTTCACAACCTAGCAGACAAAAGTGCCATTCAAGGTGGGGAAACAGAAAACTGACTGTGGGACTGATGAACTGCCTTCTGTTCATTGCCAGATGCATGCTATTTGGAGGGATGTTTCTTGAGTATGTCAAAATTTTTGTTATTTACTTGACCATATGTTGGAAGTTATTGGAGTTCATAGTGTGGAATTGAGTGCAATGGATACACATAAATGAGTATTGGGCCTCTGTTGTAATTGAATTGGGAATCTCCTGCTTTCAAATTAAAATAAATGCTGGCTTGGAGGCCCTTTTGAAGCATTTTGGAAACTACAGTCTCAGTGTACCTTAGTGTGCAGAAGTTGTGTAACTTGTCTTCCTATGGTGCAAGTTGTTCAATTGGTCAACTGCTTGCACACTTTGCCTCCTCCCTTTTTAACTGTATGAAAAATAAGGCCTCACAATTACCCCCTCCTAGCTTTCTGTCCATTGTTGCTGAGGGACAGCAACTGAATGAGAACTAGGCAAATCTATAATATTATTTATATTCATCACTAATTGTCCTCTTCTAGGCAACTTGGAATGGGCAATAAATACTTGGCCAGCAATGCCATTATCCCATGACCAAATGAAATTGCTTGACCTCATCCCAAAATGACCTTTTTTGGTTCTCAGTTCAAATGTAATAATCCTTTTTTTATTCTATTACAAAGTAGCTGTACCTTTTGCCACAGCAGGATGCCGTGTGTTTGTATCCAATGTTTTCTCTGCTGCATTTTAGTGATTGTACAATGTCATATGGGAGTTTGTTAGCTTGATGCAGGGTGTTTGTTTGTATCTCTCACCAGATGGAATTGGCCTGTTGGTCATATGTTGACACTGAGGGCTGCATACAATTAAACACCATTGTAAGTGGTTTGAGTGGGATAGTTCTAACGGATTATTCTATTACCTGTGATGACTCCTGCCATTCCCTTGCTGCTGAGCAATCCCTTGGCAAGTTGCTATATTTGCAGCTCAAGTGGCTGACAGTATAATCAGAGTACCCTTCAGACTGCACAGGAGCTTCTCTCGCTCTGAGTTCCACCACACATGTCAGTGTTGTGGCCAGATTTTCCATACTGCTCACTTTCCCTTGCACATTGACAGAAATATGGATGGATTCATATGCTACTGTGACATCTCACATTGCACATCATGTGTAGGCTGATCTGTAAAATGTACTCAGCAGTTGATGAAAGTTAATGGAGTAGCATTTAGTGAAACTATGATCATGATCATATTAGGTTAATGTTGCCATGGAAATGATCAGTTGTTAGTGGACAATCAGCTGGAGACTATTTAATTTCAGTGATTTAGAAGTGGCCCCAGGTGTAACCAAAATAGATCATTGCTAAAATAGCAAATGATCAATATATGAGGGCAATGAGGGGAAAAGGCAAGAAATTAAACTCCTACGTGGCAGAAAAGAAGGGCATCTGAAGGTGAGGTTCTTAGAAGGTAAAAGATTATCAGAGTTGATCAAAAGTTCCATTTCCACAGGAAGGAGACTGAATACACAAAATACTTGACAAAAGAAGTTAGCAGGGGGACAATGGGAATCTTTTTTTAATGCAGTCATTTGGAATGATCAAGATTTGACTGTCTGAAAAGGTGTTGGAAAATATTGCAAGGGAATTGGATATATTCTTAGAAAGGGCAAAACTTGCAGACCTTGTGGAGCGAGCAGCAGAGCAACAGACTCTCCTTTTGAGACTTATTTTGGAAAGCTGACTGAGGATGGATTGAACTGGAATCATGTTGGCAAAACATGCAAGTTGGTGTTAGGGAGAACTTGAAGACAGAGGGATATGGGATTTATCTTGATTTGAGTTGTTGACAGGTTAACTGACGCAGCTGGGGGAGGACGCGGCGCAGCGAGAGGAGACCGGAAGGTACCAGCAGTGAGATCAGTGGACACAGAGATAAGCAGCAATAAAGTTAGAAACACTCCAAACACTGGCAATCTATATGCACAAATGTTTGAAGGTGGCAGGAAAAGTCAGTAAGGTTGTTTTAAAAGACATATAAGAGCTTGAGCTCCTATAAAAGCAAGGAAGTTGCATTAAACCTATATTAATCTCTGATTTAGCCGCAGTGTTGCCAATTCACAGTACCACATTTTAGTCTGGAGAGGATGCAGAGGATATTTGTTAGACTGGAACCAGGGATGAGGAATTTAGTTGTGTGGGGAGAGTAGTGAATTTGATATTTCCTCCTCAGTGCAGAAGTTGATAGGGAGAGACGATCAAGTTGTTCAAAGTCATGTCAGTGAAGCTAGTGAAAAGAAACCTTTGCACCGGTGTTGTGGTCAATAAATCAGGAAAGATACTTGAGGGAATTGGCAGAGGAACCAGAAAGTAGACGAGTGACCGTTTCACAGTGAATTGTTATGATCTTGTTTACGCTTCCTGAAAGGTGGCGAATGCAGATTAAATTGTCCCTTTCAAAAAGATATTGCATTGATATTTAAAAGGAGGAATTTACAATGCTTGGGGAAAGCAATGGCAATGTAGTATTAACCAGGTGGTTCTTTCCAGGAGCCAGCTCAGGTGCAGTGGACTGAACTGTCACCTTCTGTAGAATTCTATTCAGTCTTGATGTCTAGACTCTTGGGACAGTTCTATTGTGTAGGTCTTCATTGCTTTGGAGTGATATTTAATACTAGAAAACCTGTCTGGATTGTATTTGGGAGTTATTTTTACAAGGATCATAATTATTGACTGTGTCCTAAATGGTTGCAATCTTTTTAAAAACTTGACAGTATTTCAGACAGGTTGCAATATTTCTGGGAGTTTTGATTGGGTTTTCTGTAGCAGTTGAGTCATCAATCCTGTTAATGAAGGAAGCATGAAACACCCGATTGTCCTGTTTTCTCTCTGTGCAGATGAACCTCAGTCTCCTGGTACTGTAAGCAGGGAGGCCCGTTCCACTGCCAACAAGAACCGGATAGTGGCGCTAGAGAAACAGCTTGATATCGAGATGAAGGTGAAGCAAGGAGCTGAGAATATGATCCAGATGTACTCTAGTGGACCTGTGAAGGTAAAGGAGACAATTCCAGCTTCTGCACATCAAGCTTTAGCTGGTCTTGAATTGTAGGTTACGCTTGAAAGTTGTTATTATTGGCTATGGTTGAGAAATATGGGTAAAAAGCTATACTCCATCATTTGACAATACAAGACACACAACTCTACTCCAGACCGATCTGCTGTTACGCTTGAAGCACATCAGTCCAATTTATTTTGGGGCATGAATAGAGAAAGGAAGATGGTTTTAGTCTTCTGGAACACTTGAAGATATCTGCCTGTAGCTAACAACATAACATGAGAAACAGGAACAAAAGAAGGCCATTCAGCCTGTTGAGTTTGGTGTACTGTTCAGTAAGAGCTATTCAGCTGATCGAATTGTGGCCTTAACTTCGCAAACATTGGATGTGTTTCTTATCGGTCAGTTTGCTCACTGAGAGGTTTGTTAGATTGAGTATTCACAAGCCAATAATATATTGGATCCACTGCCCAGAAAGTGGCCACTCATAGTCAAACACTCATAGTCAAACACTCATAGTCAGAGAGTCAAAGAGTTATACAGCATGGAAACAGACCATTTGGTCCAACTTGTCCACGCCGACCAGATATCCTAAACTGATCTAGTTTCATTTTCCAGCATTTAGCCCACACCTCTCTTAAACCCTTCCTATGCATGCAACCATCCAGATGCCTTTTAAGTGTTAGTAATTGAACCAGCCTCTACCACTACCTCTGGCAGCTTGTTCCATACACTCAGCACTCCCTGCGTGAAAAAGTTGTCCCTTTTAAACCTTCCCCTTTAACCTTAAACCTATGCCATCTAGTTCGGAATCCCTTACCCTCCCCCTCATAATTTTATAAATCTCTATAAGGTCATATTAAATCCAACTATACCAGTGTGTGTAGAATGTAAGAAATAGAATTAGGCTATTTGGCCCCTTGCATTCACATCTGCCATTTCTAAAACTGTGGTGATTTGACCGTACCTCCACTTTCCTACTCAAGCACCATGTCCCTTGATTTTCTTGTTCAAAAATACACCACTCTCTAGCTTGTGATCACAAAGAATTGAGCACCACTGCCCTCTAGGGGAATGAACCTCAGAGTTGCTGCAAGAATACTTTGGAGCCTGATTTGCATCATCAGCAAACTTGCCAAATAAAACTCGATCCCTAAACGTCGATCATTGAAAAGTTAGCAAATGTTAAGGCCTCAGATCCTGATCTTTGTGACCTGTTAGCCTGCCAACCTAAAGTTGAGCAGTTTGTTCCACACGGTTTCCTGTCCCTTAATGAATCCTGTACCCTTGCCCTAATATATTATCCCAATCCATGATGCGACATCCCTGTCAAGTGTCTTTGAAATGCATGTGTTTTGTTTCCCCTTTTATCTAAATTAAATTCAGTAGATTTGTTTAAGGCCATTTTCTTACCAGGATGCTGTCTAGATTAGAGGATATGAGCTATAAGGAGAGACAAGAAAAACTCACTCAGGTTGTTTTCTCTTGAGTGGTGCAGGCAGAGAGGAGACCTGATAGAAGTCTAAAATTATGAGATGCATAGAAAGCGTTGATGGTCAGAATCTTTTTCTCAGAGTTGAAGTGTCTAATACTAGGGGGCATGCATTTAAGGTTAGAGGGGAAAAGTTCAAAGGAGACATGAGGGGCAATTTTTTTACACAGTGATTGGAGTCTGGAATGCACTGCTAGGGATGGTGGTGGAGGCAGATGCAATAGGGGCATTTAAGGGACTTTTAGACAAGCACATGAATAAGCGAGGAATGGAGGGATATGGACCAAGGGCAGGCAGAAGCGGTTAGTTTCATTTGGCGTCAAGTTTGGCGCAACATTATGGGCCGAAGGGCCCATTCCTGTGCTGTACTGTTCTATGTTCTAAAGCCACGTTGACTCTGTTTGGTCATACAAGGAATTTCTAAGTGCTTTGCTGAACAGAGCACTTTAAACCCCTTGACAAGTGTCAATTTGATGACCCTCCCACACTGTTAGCAAAGGCAAATGCAAACAAACTTCTATCCAGCAGCCAAGCCCCAGGAGCTGCTCTATCCCATCTACACGACCTGCTCAAGAAGCTGCCTCTTTGAATCAGTGTGTGCAGATTAGAGCTGTATGCAGTATTTTAACAGCAGTCTAAGTAATGTTTTAAACTGTCCTAGTGTAACCTCAGCACTTTTATATTCTTGGTGTTGGGCATTAAACGAAAATACCCCATATACCTCCTTGACCACATGCCTTGCTGTTCTGTGACTTCCAGGAATGTGACTAGATCACTTTTGTTTCACTGGACACTCCAACACAAAAACACCTATTGACTACTACCAAGAACAATACAGCACGGAAACGGGCCCTTCGGCTCTCCAAGCCTGCGCCAACACATTTTGGCCTTCCACAATAAAACTATCCTCACTTATAGGATCCATATCCCTCTATTCCCTTCCTATTCATGTACTCGTACAGGTGCTTTTGGAATGCTGCTATTATGTCTACTTCCACCACCTTTGGTAGTGCATTCCTTGCATTCACCACCCTTTGTGTGAAAAACTTACCTGGCACATTTATTTCAAACCCATTCCGCCCACCCCCTGCACCTTGAATGTGTGTCCCCTACTAATTGATCCCTCCACCCTGGGGAAAAGCCTCATTACCTGCTGCTTCTTGTTGCTGATCCATTTTGGATCTACCTTGCCACATTCCCCTGGCTTTAATGGACTTTCAGTTTATGGCCTTAACAAGAGACAAGTTACTATCTATGCTGACTACATCAAATGCGCAAGCTTCATTGATCCTCATTACTTCATTAAAAACTCAACCATGTTAATATAATCTCAGAGCACTTAAGGAAGTGTCCCTAGATATAGCAGATGCATTGGTGATAATTTTCCAGCATTAAGTAGACTCTGGAAAAGTTCCAATGGACTGGAGGGTAGCTGATGTAACCCCACTCTCTTTAAAAAAAGGAGAGAGAGAGAGAAAATGGGGAATTATAAGCCGGTTAGCCTGAAATCAATGATGAGCAAAATGCTAGAGTCAGTTATTAAGGATGTAAGAACTGAGCATTTGGAAAGCAGTGACAGAATTGGCCCTCGTCAGCATGGATTCACTAAAGGGAAATCATACTTGACAAATCTTCTGGAATTCTTTGAGGAAATGTCCCATAGAGTGGACAAGGATAAATCAGTAGATGTTGTGTATTTGGGCTTTCAAAAGGCTTTTGACAAGGTTCAACATGAGATTAGTAAGGAAAATTAAAGCTCATGTTATCAGAGGTAATGTATTGCCATGGAGAACTGGTTGACAGACAGGAAGCAGAGAGTTGGAATAAATGAGACCTTTGCAGAGTGGCAGACAGTGACAAGGGTACCAGAGGGCTCAGTGCTGGGACCCCAACTGTCATAACGTCATTAACAATTTGGATGAAGGAATTGAATCCAAATTTACAGATGACACTAAGCTGGTTGGCAGTGTGAGGAGGATGCTAAGAGGCAGCAAGGTGACTTGGACAGACTGGCCGAGTGGGAATATACTTGGCAAATGCAATATAATATGGATATATAAGGTTATCCACTTTGGTCGCAAAAACAGGAAGGCAGATTATTATCTGACTCGTGGCAGTTTAGGAGAAGGTGAGGTGTAATGAGACCAGGGCATGGTGGAACATTCTGAAGGTTGGCATGCACGTGCAGCAGGCGATGAGGAAAGCTAATGGCATTCTGGCCTTCATAGCGAGAGGATTTGAGTATTGGAGTAAGGATGGCTTGCTGCAGTTATACAGGGCCTTGGTGAGGCCACGCCTTGAGTGTTGTGTGCAGTTTCCTAGTCCGAGGAAAGACGTTCTTGCTGTTGGGGGAGTCCAGCGAAGGTTCACCAGACTGATTCCTGGAATGGCAGGACTGACATATGAGGAAAGACTGGATTGACTGGGCTTGTACTCACTGGAATTTAGAAGAATGAGGGGGAGTGGGGGGGTGGTCTCTCATAGAAACAAGTAAAATCCTGATGGGACTCGACAGGCTAGATGTAGGAAGAATATTCCTGATGTTGGAGAAGTCCAGAACTAGGGTCACAGTCAAAGAATACGGGGTATGCCAATCAGGACTGCGATAAGGAAGAATTTCTTCATGCAGAGTTGTGAACCTGTGGAATTCTCTCCCAGAGGAGGCTGTTGGGGCTAGTTCATTAGATATATTTAAGAGCTGAACATGGCTCTTGTGGCTAAAGAAATCAAGGGGTATGGAGAGAAAGCAGGATTGTTTACTGAAATTGAATGATCAGCCATGATGATATTGAATGGTGGTGCAAGCTTGAAGGGCTGAATGGCTTACTCTTGCACCCATTTTCTATGTTTCTATCCTCTATGTAACTCCAGACCCACAGCAATATGATTGACCCTGAAATGGCCAACTTGCTAAGTATCAAAAAAGGAATGGAAGTGGACATTTCACTGGAAATGGCAATAGCAAACTCGGCAACCCTGCAAAGTTCTCCTTATCGACAGCAGGGTGTGAATGCCAAAACTGGGAGAGCTGTCTCACAGACTAGTCAAGCAACAGCCTGACAGAGTGGTGTTCTCAGAATCATACCCTCCAAACAATGTCTCAGACACCACCATTAACATCCTGGATATGTCCTGTTTCATTGGCAGGACAGACTTGGTAGATGTGACAGAACAGAACAATAGAATTGGAGGCAGGTGTTGTGGGAGTTCTCAATGCTGAATCTCATGGTAATATGTCAAGGAAACCTGTTGATTGCAATGCACTGCTGCACCCCACCCACCCACTCCCCCAATTCTGTTGATGAATCAACAAATCACCATATTGATCACTATTTGGAGGAAGCACCTAGGGTGGAAAGGGTACAAAATATACGCTGGGTAACTTCAATGCCCATGATCAAGAGTGACTTGCAGTGGCGACCACTGACCGAGGTGGTCAGGTCGAAAAAAGATATAGTTGCCAGACAAGGTTTACAGCAGGTGGTGAGGGAAGAACACATTTGAC